GGCGGGAGCGAAGGCGCGGAGGTCGCCCGTGCTGCCGGCGTGAGGGGGATGCAGGTGGGGGTGGTGGTGGTGATGGTGGCTGTGAGGAGGCTGAGGCGGCGGCGGCGGCTGCTGCTGTGGGTTGGGCTGGTGAGGAGGCGGCGGCGGGGGCTGAGGCGGCGCGTTGGCGTTGCCGTTGGCGGGCGCTGGGCGGCGCTCGTCGGCGTTGTGGATGAAGTGGCAGCGAGGCCCGTAAGGGCAGAAGCCGATGGTGTGGAAGGTGCGGCACAGCTCCGTCTTGTACTTGGGGTGGCGCGTCAGGCTGCGCAGCTCGTGGTAGCCGTGGGCGAACTGGCACTTCTCGCCGTATTTGCAGGCGCCGCTCTCCTCGAAAGGCCGGCACAGCTCCATTTTGTAGCGCGTGGAGTTGATGGGGGCTCCTCCGCCGCCGCCCCCGCCGCCTCCTCCTCCTCCGCCGCCGCCCTTGCCCGTGGTGGTGGTCGCCGCCACCACCACCACCTGTTGTTGCTGGAGCTGCTGCATGAGGTGTTGGCTTCGCTCGCCATTCTCGCTGAAGGACCGGTCTCGGAACTTGTTCTCCTTGTTGAGCAAGGCGGTGGGGCTGCTGCTCCCCCCTCCTCCTCCTCCGGTGCCGGGCTCCTTGAGGTTGCCGAAAGACGAGGGCGAGGAGCCACCGGGAAACTTGGCGTTGCCGTTAGCCAGAGCCTGCAGGTTGCTGGTCGAGTGCCTCCGCAGGAAACCCGGCCCGAAGTTGGAGTTGGGAGAGGTGCCCACTGGGCTCCCCACTGCCTTCTTGTCCAGCATGCTGCTCAGGTTACTCAGGGATTTCTCGGTCTGGGAGCCAGAAGTGTAGGAGAAGGAGGAAGGAGAGGAGAAAGAGAAAAGGGGGGAAAAAAGAGGGTGCACCGTGACTGCCAAGAGCCTGGGAAGGAAGGAGGCCGCAAACCTCCACCACTCCCTTAGACTGCCTGAACCAAAAGGGCCTTTTCTCAACACAACCGCCGAAGAGGAGCCCACGCTAGCTGTACTTGCCGATCCCCGTGTCTAGTAGTTGACGAGACCTCCCCCTCCCCTTTCCGAACAGTTATCTGCAACTTTGAAAACTTTTTGAGGGGTGGTCCGAAACCCCTCCCACTCCAACGAGTAGGGACTAGGCTTAAAGAGTTCCGATTCAACACAGCTGGGGCTTGTGGAAGCAGCTTAAACCTCGACAGAACTGCCATTGCAGCTACTTCTAAAACACACCCACCATACAGGCAAATTGTAATAGTAAAGGAAAAAGGTTGCTGGCACCACAGAACTAGGCGCCACTTCGATACACGCACCCTGGCTTGTTGCAAGCACCCCGTCCCTCCATGACAAAGCAAGCACCCACAAAATGCATTTCCAAATGGAAATCGCTCACCTTCCACAAACAACAGAAAGCAAGTAGTTTCCTACGGAAAAGTTACCTAAAGTTGAGATGTCTGAATCACTCTTTTAACCTGTTGATGAACAAAGTAGGTCGTGCTACTCCTTCCTGTGTATACTTACTCGGAATTAAATCCTACCGAGTACAAGTAGGCTTCCACCTAAGTAAGTGTACACAAGACTGCAGCCTTAAAAGCAGTTAGTTACCCTCTGCAACGCCACTTTCACTACAGCGCTTTCCGAACTATTCTAAAGAACCTGTCTAAGAAAATACAAGTCCCCCACCTCACCTTGCACAAGAAGTCGATGTCGTAGAAGGCAGATAAGAGTGTTGCAGACATTTCTAGATCCTGTAATGGTCCGAAATGCAAGAAGGACCGAAAGATCCCACTTTCCTCGGGAGCTTTGGATGAGCCACGACTGGATAGGAGAGGGCTGATAACTTGAAATCTGAAATGGTCTAATCAGTTTCCCAGCACAGATGGGAAGAGCGTATGCACAGGCAAAGCGACGGCCGCAACTAACAAGTCAGCTATCTGACTGCTGGAACTCCGCGGCTGGTGTACACGCCCCATATATAAACGCACAGACGCCCTCCCTGGCTGTGGGGTGGGACCGAGCACTGACCCGGCTGGGGTCTCCCGGCAACACCACCCAGCATATCCCCTCCTACCAAGCCCTGCCCCCGCGCTCCCTCATTGGACGCCGCCAATTTTCTTTCGGCGGCATCGAGTGTAGGAGGCGTGGCAAGACTGAGAAGTTACAAGAGAAAGGACAGAGAGCGCTCTCGGGAAGCGTCGTGGTCTCGCAGAGCAGCTCTGAGTCTGTGCGAAAAAGTCCCCCTCAGTACTTGCTGTACTAGGCACACGCTCCAAGCTTCTTGTCTCGCATAGAAGAAGCACTGTTTCCCCGCTATAAGGGTAGTCAGTGTATGCATTTAGTGCTTAGGGTTATTTTGCATAGGAGAATACATTGACCGTAGAAGATGTGCTAAAAGTCGACTGTGCAATAATCTCCAGTATGCAAAAGACTTGCCATAGTAGGTTTCCACAAGACTTGTAATCACGCCATGTGTACAGGAAACTCCCATGTGGTTAACCACTTGGGAAGTATAAACGCGGGGTTGCTCAAGAATGCAGCGTGGCTGCTGCACCTGCTAAACCACTACAGCACGAAGGATTTGCAAGATGATGGCTGCTGCAGTACTACAGAAACGTTTAAATACTGTGTAGCGGGCTTTACTTCCAAGGAAAATGCAGATATGATCAGATCAGTGTTTTCGTGCACATGGAAGCAGTCACTAGTTTACACACGCACTGTTGAATACAAATGCACTATTCATACTGTTTATTTTATCAAAACACCGCGGCAGTTTTCTTGTTGCAATCTTGGGGAGAGACCTTCACAGGCATAGAGTGGTGGGCAGACTACGATGGTCTTCTTTCCAGATTTCTATTGCCCTTCAATGAGAGTAAATTACCCGCACCCTCTTTGCAAGCAAGCCCGCCCCGCTACTTGCCCGGCTCGGAAGTTTGAAGTAAATACGCCAACACAAGGCTTTCCAGCTCCTTTCACCCCCTGCTGAGTCGTTTGGGAAGCTCGCAACGAAACAGAGGAGGCATCAAAGTGCCTGCAATTGAAACGGGACGCCCTGGAGACTCTGCCCCCCCCCCCCCCCGGAAACTTTGTGCCACGCTACAGATTTTGGAAACAAAAGGTGGCTGGCGCGCTTTGCTCCTTGTGCAACTGGTGGGACAGCACCACTGCCATGTGCATGTGGGGAGGGTGCGCGCGCGTTAAGTTGGTAAAGCCGAGAAGACGGCGGCGGAGTCGGGGGAGGGAGAGTCGTCGCCTAGGGAATCTCCCCCCACACCGTGCAAACCACCCTGCCCCTGACTCGCTCCCAGACTTGGCAACCGCTCAAGGTCTTGTGATACGATTGGCCAAGCCAGCGACCCGTCCTTTGACACACACACGGGCCCCAAGCAAGCAAACGACTTCCCCTCCCCCGGCCTGCGCGGCACAGCTGCGCCTCCAAAGGGAGGGCCGGGCTGACGCGGCGCAGCTGCAGTGCCGCGCTCCGACGCTGCCTTAGGTCGGCTCCGCCCCTCCCGGACTCGGACGCCCGCCAAGAAGGCGAGGGCCAGAGGGAGTCGCCGAATCACATCTTTCCTTAGTCTCGGCATCCAGTCAAGGCGCTCCTGTCGGTGGTGGCTCCCCTAATGTGGAGTTTGCGACCAGCTAGGCGCGCAGCCCGCGCTTGCTTACTCGGAAGTAAGCACTCTTGGGTTCTATAGGACTCGCTTCTGAGAAAGCTCACGTAGGGCTGTAGCCTTAAGGCCCGGTCTTGTGTTTAAGTAACACTCGATTACAGAAAGGCGCACAAGTCTTACAGCTCAACTCTTTTACTCGGAAACAAGTCTCGCTTGGCGCTTACTCCCGCGTAAGCAATGGATAAACGTTAACAGTCACTGCCGGGGAGGACTCGGGAGTGTAAAGGAGACCCATGCTACTTCTCCGCTCCCCTTCCAGGCGAGTGACTGACAGCTCCCCCCCCCCATTTTGTTACTGCAAACACAGGAGAGGCTGGCTGGTTTTGCTGTCTCCTTGCGCGGGAAGGAAAAGTAGCCCGGCTTTGTGCATATTTACCGATATGGCTCTCTTCCACGCCGGTGTGTGCGTGGGCTTGAGGGGAAAAGCCGGAAGGCGAGATCTTGTGCTACTTTCCTCGGCCCCCTGGTCGGAGACGGAGAGACCGACACCGGCTAAGCGCTGGGACTCATCACTGTGAGGGGAAAGTGTCAAGTGTCCATGCGCTAAAAAAAAAAAAAAAGGGTTGCAAGCCCTTTGATAAGTCTCGGGAGCCGTTGCTGGGGGCCGCCAAAACGCGCCTAATCCAGGGGCGCAACTCAGCCCACGTTAGCAGGAACCCTGCGCCGACTTCAAGGCACTTTTATGGACGCAGTTGCACCCCAGAATGGCTGCCGCGTCCATCTGCCTCTCCCGGCTTTCTCTGCGAGGCAGTAAACCAGCCCCTCTGCAAGCCGGAGCTTTCTCTGGCTGTTGCTCCCGCTCACAGGCGGGAAAACGCAGCGCCTGTTGCAGGGATCGGCCAGGGAAGAACCACCGTCCGCCCTCTCCGAGGCTTCTACTTTGCATTTTACGAAGTGACTGTAAAAAAATATCCTTCCGAGTCTCTTCAAGAGCGAGCAAAAGGTCGCTCTGGGGAGCGGACAAAGGCTCGGAGAGTCCTGGGGTGGTTAAAAGGCGCGGGCAAGCCATCCCCCTTGCTCCGTGGGGAGGCGAAACATACCGCCGGCCGGCTTTGCATTCCCAAAGCGGTCACTGGCACAGAGCAATTAAAACTCCGGCTCACCCTGTCAGTTAATCCACTTGGCAGGGCTTTTGAAGCTGTTCTTGCAAACCAAGAGGTGGACGTGACAAAGTTGACGCACAGAAAGTTCTCCAGTGATGCGATGCCCCCTAGTGCTCTACTCCTGTAAGAGCGCCTAAGCCGCTGGGACTTGAAGATCTCAAAGCTTGAAAAACATAATAGCACTCCTCACTCCTCCCCCATCACATTCTCTACTGAAGCTCTTGTAAAAATGCTGAAAATGTTTGCAGTTTAACACATGACATTCAAAATACTGCTGCTTACACATGGAAAATATTTGCAGGTGGGTAGCCATGTTGGTCTGAAGCAGCAGACCAAAGTTTGAGTCCAGTGGCACCTTTTAACAACAAAGTTTTGTTGGTCTTAAAGGTGCCACTGGGTTCAAACTCTGGTCTGCTGCTTCAGACCAACACAGCTACCCCATCTGAGTGTATCTGGAAAAGTGTGCTTGCACAGGAAAGCTTATATCTTGAATAAAACTTTGTTGGTCTTAAAGGTGTCACTGCACTCAAACTTTTATCAAAAAAATTTACCTTTAAAAAAAAAATGTGCATGTGGCATGCACCTGGAAGTCATGGCGACTGACCCGTCCTGGGGGCCTGGAGGATATTCAGAGAGGTGGCTGAGTGAAGCCTGCCCCCACCTCTGGTATTCCTTGGAGGGCTCCCATCCAAGTACTTGCCAGAGTCCACCCTGCATAGCTTCTGAGATCTGGTGAGATCAGGCTTGCCTGGGCTATCCAGGTCAGGGCCTTCTGTTCTTTCAAATGATTTTGGTCCTAACCTGAAACACGACACATGCGGAACCTGCAACTTGCTGGTGCCCTTTCTCTTAATTCGGTTCTGGGGTTGAGGGGGAAGATACTTCTCCACAAGCCAAAACAAAGCTCTGGATTCCAACTACTGACTACCTTAAGAGAAAAAATAGCTCACGAAGGCAAAATCCAGTCTATAACCCATAGACAGACAACCCACACTTAAGATAACGGATTCTGATTAAGCAGATTTACAGGCAGCTTTGCTGTAACAGACTTTTGTTCTGCAGCTGCTGCTTAAGGTTTAAAGGTTTCTGATTGGGAAGTTATACAGTAACTGGTAGTGTGATTGTGTACAATTATCTTCTGTCCATAAATGAAGAAATATTACACAGTTTAAAACTATACTTTAAAATTATGATAAGACAGGCTATTTCATAAAGGGTTGTTTTTTTGTTTACTAATTATCCAGCTTTCTTGAAGTTTCTAATGCCTCAATGCTGCTTCACATCTGTAATGGCAAGTACAGTTAAGGTCTGACACTTCCACGAAAGCCTAAGAATATATAACTGGGCAGGACACTTAAAAGTGTAAAAAGTTGCATAACGTTAAAAGCCTAATGTGGTATTTGACACCAAAGGCACCTGAATCAAATAATTTTAAGTAAATATATTTCAAATAAACTTTAACACAACACCTGAAAACTTTCCTTCATACTAGCAGCAGCAGGAGAAGTAATGGGACGTCTGAGAACACATGAATTGGGACCAGGCTGCAGATCTTTTATAGCTGTATAAACTAGAACTTGTAGGAAATACTTCATCATAATCAGCTGGAAAAGAGGACTGTTTCTGTGAACATTTTGCATCCCTTTGGTATGTGTGTGTTTGTACAACGCACCAGGAACACCTGAGGAAAGGAGACAAAATATCCGTTGCCTTGGCACCTCATTCAGGGTTAGGGCAATGAGAAGACTTTGTCCTCCATGTCATCGTCACACATGATTTAGTAACATCTTTGAGGGTAAATAAAGCACACAGGTACAAACAGGGATACTCCCAATCTGGCTCCCAGTAAAACACTAAGGGCCAAACTAGACGCTACAGTGGTTACAGGTTTGATCAGCTGTCATTGGGTCTGTGGTGTGTGCGTGGGGGCAGTTGATCTCCCTCTCCCTGCACCTTTTCAAGTACTGAAACAACCATGGTGGGGATGCTTGGGTACTTAAAAACCACGGGAGGGCGGCAAGATCACGTGGTGCTGTGGGCCCATTCAGGATCAGGACCTTGTGTCGTTTTCTTAAATGGTCAAATTATATTACTTGTCTCTATGATGTCATTGTGCTGTGATCCTGGATTGGCTAGATCACATAGCCACTAAGAAAACCCGTGGGGAGGCTTCAGAAACAGGAAAGCAGGGAACAGAGTTTCAAGAGACACTTTAGCCCTTTCCAATATTAGATTTCATGC